ACCCAGTGAAAAATGTGTGTGTGTGTGTGTGTGTGTGTGTGTGTGTGTGTGTGTGTGTGTGTGTAATTTTGAAGTAGTATTAAAGGCTGCTAAAAGGTAAATGCTCAGTACCTTTTTGTCCACTCCCCCACTTACCTGTGTCACTGCCGCCGGTCCCTGCAGCGATTCTCCATTCCCTGAACTTCCTGACTGTGGGGAAGCTATAGGGTCCTTCTGCCATCAATCTACCTGTTGGGAGGAGGGGCGTGGCCTGTCACAGGCCTTTGTGTGTCTATGGATGCACACAGCCACTGTGGGAACACGCACGCACGGGTGCTTCCATAGCAGAGAGCGATGCGGAGACCCACTAGAAAACGTAATTGAACTTTTTCTGTAAAAAAAAAAACAAAACAGGATTTATAAAAGGCGGACCTCCCAGGGGTACAAAAACAACAAAACAAAGCTTTAATATCACTAAGTTGGATACATGGCACCTTTTTCAAGGTGACAATGCTTTTACTAGAAAAAAGAAAGTGAGAATTTGTCAGTGGAGTCTTCGCTAACCTACTAAAGAAGCCCTTTCAATTCTGTCAGTGTTGCTCAAAAGATGAACAAATCCCAGGAGCCAGATGGCCAATATCCTTAAAAACTACAGCTGACACCTAACTTTTCTGGATTTCTCCAGTTGTCAGTGAAGGTTGCTCCTAAAAAAAAAAAAAAAATCCCAAATCTTCTGGATTGGACAGTCTGGGTCTTCAATACCGTATTACTTTTGTACAACTATGGTGTTTCAGTTGCAGATTTCCCCTCACTTTCTTACTGGAAAACCTATTGTCGTCTGGGCAGTAAGTGAGGAGAAGCCTCTCTAATGGAGTGCCGGATAGCAGTAAAAACTGCCAGGGGTTCTAAACCTCCCCATTGTGAACACATTATATTTGCTTTGTGAAAGCAATATTGGAATTATGCCAAGGGCATGTGCAGTTTTTAAAAATACATTTAGTTTCCTTAACTGTAAGTATTTGAAGAACACTTGCAAATAAAAATGTACTGTTTTCTCCTTTATTTCTGTTTGAGAGAATCATCCAAGGTCCTCCCGCTTCACATCTTGTGTTTTTCATTGGCAATTTTTTTTTAAATGAACAATCTGCATTGTGACAGCTTGCCATTTGATGGTAACGAAACGTCTCTGCCTCCAGCGCATTTCTGTTGACCATTGAGGCAGCCCACCATAGTAATGGACCAATGTGTGGGAGGTATCAGCAAGTACCGAAACTATCTGGAAGTGTCGGAGGATTGCCTGTTAGAATAGTGAAGTGTAGTGTGATCAGCTTGTAAGCCCCTTTATGTGATAGCAATTAGGTTAAGTTTGACGGGTGCATTCGATTTATTTATTTATTTATTTTTTTTAAGCTTGGCTTGTTGGGTATCTATTTATTTGTCGTAGCCTCATCTTTTATATTAAAAAAAAATAAAAATATGGGTATTCTATTGTGTTCCGGGCAATACAATTAACAAGTATATTTAAAAAAAATTATTTGGGGGTTTGCTAATAAGTTGCACTTATATCGTGCAACGTAAAAATTTGCAACTGCCGCCATTTTATTTTACAGGGTCTTTTTCAGAATATGTTTTTGAAGGTTTAAAGTAAGTTTCAGGCCTAAAATGATGTGGATTATAACTTGTGCAAAAAAGCATAAACTGCCTTGGCAGCGAAGGGACTGTGAGCAGTTTTCCATACACGAGGATGGTCTGGCCTTAGTGTGTATAAAATTGTGAATTGTGAAGAGTATCTGCATCCCTGATGGGTGTGAAGGGGGTTTGTCAAAGCGACTGCCTGGTAGACGTTCACAGACATGCTCATTGCAGATGGGAACTGAACCAATGTAGCTCTGCCTACGCTCCACAACGGTAAAGAGTTATGAAGGGGGATGGTGGGGGGTGTTGGTGCTCTCTCCTGTTTCTCCATTGAGACTGTTATGCAGAGCGCTGTCGACAGCACTGCTACACCGAAGAGTGAGAATGTTGCCAGAACTGAATAGTAAACACCCACAAATCGGGCTTATGGCAGGAATGAACTAATAGAGAGGATTATATCCACAATCATTCAATATTTCTTTGAAGAAGCAGGGACCAGTAGTTCTAAATGAATCCATAGACCAGCATTTAATTTATCGAAGCTAATGAGACTGTTAGAGCCTTTCAGTTCCTTTGGGTTTCTAAGCTTTTATTCTATTCTATTCTATTGAGCCGACAGTTTCATTGTCACACGTCGGCTCGAACTATGAGGATGAGTGATTTTCACTCACCTCATAGTTCTCCTTTTTAAATTAAACACTCCAAGGGTTAAGCTATATATTTTCATGCATTTTGGCAATTCAAAGTTTGGCGTTCTAGAAGGAATGTTTTGTTCACATATCTTCTACAAAATACCCAGGCACAATATAGCCGTCTGTCTCTTTATGCTTCATCACAGGAATGTGCAGACAAGCAGCTTTTCTAGACTAAGCAATGTTTAGGGAACACGGATTTCTGATTGCTAGTTCACTCATTGTTGCTGACTTTGTAGTGTTTGTGCTGGCATGTTAAATATCCTGCATGGTGACTTTAGATATCTTCTAGGGTTCTAATGGCAGCAATTTTAATGAATGCATTTTGAAAAGCTGATGCAGAGGTGATATTTCTAGCAGCCAAATTCAGTCCCAATTGATGGATAAGAATTGATTTCCATTGGTAACCGAACCACTTTTCCTACTATGATAGTACTTGTCTGTGGTCTTCAGTGATAGACTTGAGCAACATTTCACAAACATGATTCCATGGGGGATTCCTTGATGAGTGAGCAATGGTGGATTGCTCTCCCTCCTGATGGGTGCCTGCATAGTTTTAGCACCAACATCACTAGACAGAGCCAATTACATGGGACTGGTGGAACCTCCTGGGTAAGTAACCACTGATGGCTCGAGACTCCAGATAATCATACTTCAGAATAGAGAAGTATTTTTGTAGAGCGGTCAGATGGCATTTTTTTTTTTTAGTTCTTCCAACTGCAAGGGATCCAGTACACCAAAGTAATTTTGTAGGTCAAATTTAAAGTAAAGCCCAACCAGTTGTTTTGTTTTTTTTTGTGTTTTTTTTTGTGTTTTTTTTCCCCCCCCCAGTTTTGGATAGTGTACAAAGGTTAGAACCTTTCATCTGTATGGAAATGTCTGTGTTTGTATTTAGAAGCTTTGATGGCTTTCAGGCAGATTATGAAGTCGGAGCATGGTATCAGACAAAGCAGGAAGTGAGGGAAAAGATTCTCCTATAGGGTCACAGTGAAAAGAATTGACTATACACATTGATGAACATTTTATGGCATATTCTAGAATACAGTATCCACAGTCGATGGCTTCCTTTTTATTTATTCCTCAATAGTTTTTTTCTTTTCTGATTGGTGCAGAATCCCACTATATACAGTTTAGGACTTATTTGGTGACATTTTAAGAAGGACTGAAATGTATTACATTTATATTCATGTATTGTTTGTTCTTGCCACTATTACTATTATTATATTATACAGGATTTATATAGCCCAACAGTTTGCGCAGTGCTTTACAACATAGGGAAGAAATTACAATTCAAGACACGATGGTAAAGAGGGCCCTATCCGTGAGCGCTTACAATCTGAGTGTATAGCTTAAAATTACATTTAATTTTTTTTATATGAATCGTCTAATTCAATAATGGTGCTCTGACTTTAAAGTGTATTTAAAAGCAAAAACTGCTTAGTTGCTTTAAATTTATTCCGAAGATCGATCTCTCTATTTGTCTTGGTTACTATTATCACTAAGACCGAAATTACCTGGAAATCCACAATTTTTGAGTTATCAGAGCAATAGGTGAAGGAAAGTCCTCCAATGAGGACTCTTGTTCCTGTGACAGTTATATAGAATTTCCACTTGTTAGAAGTACACTTCAGTCAAAATTGAACCCTGACCTGCATAACGCTAACAGTCTACCTACTGAGTTGAGGTTTTTTTGTCCAGATATTGATGTACTTAAAGCAGCGCTGGACAATTCTCGGTCACCCTGTTGCTGCAGCAGCAGAACATCTTCTGGTGATGGGGTCAGTGCACTCCATCCCTGACAAGCTAACAGCCCGCTGCTAGTATGGCACCTTGTCTCACTGCACTGCATGCCCTCACCTGCTAGCAAGCTGTCCTGTTCAGCCTCGGCGACATGGCTACGGTGTACCTGGGTTGTTCCTTCCCCTCTTCTCAGCCCTAGAGAGAGCCGAGTGAAAAGCTCACCTTCCTTTTTTTCCTGCTCTGCTTCTACCTCCCTGGGGAGCAGCTACAGGTCTGCTGCAATGGCCTGTTGTATATCACCTAGGAGGAGGCATTCTGCTTTCCTGAAAGTTTGCAAACACTTAATCTGCCTGCATGTAGTACAGATTGCTTTGTTTTATCAAAAATGATTGCTTTGTTTTATGGTTTTTTTAATCAAAATGTTCCTGATAAGTAGCCATGTCCCTAGGTCATTGACGATGAGAGAAAACTTTAGATTGTGATGTCCTTGGAATATAGTTTTGGATAAAATAGGGAAGGGATAACACCCCACCCCCCGTTTCCTTTTTGTATTCTACCAGGAAGTTAGAGGAGATCTCCCAAAGTGAGGTGAATTCCTTTCTTATGGGGGTATCCCTGTTGGAAGATTTTACCTTCTACTCTGTGGACAACTCTAAAAATGTTTTGCTTTCCCCTCCACTTTTTCTCGGTGACTAGTCACCAGTACAAATAAGGGGTGAATTTCAGGCCTTTTTCACAATACACTGCCCGGTGGGGTTGCCACTATGTTTACTAATGAATGGGGAGAGAGCTCAGAGAGGGTGTTAATTTGCACAGACTACTTGTAGAGCACCGAGGTGGCCATTTTAAAAGTAGCCATGAAGAGGACAGCTAACAAAAAGCGTAAGTTTGAGCAACTGCGTATGTCTGCTTCATGAACACTCAATGCACATTGCTGGCATATGGTTTTTTTGTTGTTTTTTGTTTTTGTTTTTTAAAATACCTTCTCAAAGGTGGAAATGGGCTTTAAAGGTAATTGGTGATTCATGAAGTAGAGAGAACAGAAGTTAGAGCACAGGCCCCAGGAAGTGCACTCCTACTCGTGGAGCAGTGAGTTCAATCTGTAGAGGATTGCACAGATCTCGGATTAAGGTAATTTTGAGTGAATGCTGACTATAGCACAGCTGCTGTTTTACTGGATAGCATTATTCACTCACTGAATGATTTTATTTATATGGATTTATTTGTTGCTTGGAATTACTATTTAATTATTTTGATTGTTGCATTGCAGGAATGGGTCAGGAAGCTGGTAAAGCTGCCTGGCCTAAACCTTCTGGGGGATATCAGACGATCACAGGGCGGAGATATGGAAGAAGACACGCATATATTAGTTTCCGACCTTCTCTAGAGAGCCCTCACAGAACTTCAGCTCGGCAGAAAGCGAGGGAAAGCGAAGGCCTGGAGTTGGGCAGCGTGCAGAAGGAAAATGATTTAAGTGTGTGATATGTTATTCTCCCTATGAATGTAGCATGTTTATTGCAACAGTGAATGTGGGAACAGAAACGGGAGCTGCATTTGCCAATTGAAAAAAATATATATTTTTTCAGTATACGTGGATCAGTATCTCAATGTGGAAGATGGCCAAGTGCGCAGCTTGTATATCCTTGTCCGCTGCTTCAGAGTTTCTAGAGGCTGTGCGATACAGCTTATATACCAAGAACCAAGTCATTCCATGGATGGGGTCAGAGAGCAGTTCATTCCCCATTGTTTTACTTGCAGTGGATCAGAATGGAGATTCCCAGTTGCTAGACATGATTCGCATGGTGGAAGTTTTCCTCTTGTTTTTCCCACTTTAAAAAAAAAAATGCTAAACTGTTATACCAGGTTTATTGTTAAAATATGAAATAGAGGTTTTTTATTTTAAATTTTATTTTTTTATTTTTTTATAAACGTTTTAATTTTTGTAATATTTAGTTTTATTCATTTTATATTAAATATTATTACTTTTAGGGGCTTCTGAGAAATATCAGGGGTCTAAACAGACACCTGATATTTCCCTTTTTAAAATAGAAAATGAGATTGAGGACACAAAGCCCTCCAATCTCTTTTTCTGCAGCCCCCGTTATAAATGAACAGGAATCCTGAGTATTCAGCCTCCTGTGACAGTGTGGACTGTCTCCGCCCACATCGCTCTGCCGCACTGTGACAGGAGGCTGAGCAGTGTGGGAGGAGCGGTGTGTCTCCTCCCGCAGTGCTTGGCTGTCTGTCACACTTTCTCTCCTCCCCGCTGGGACACAGAGCAGCGCCCAGCAGGGAAGAAAGGCAGGAATGCGCCGCTGTATCGGCACAAAAATGGCACTTTCGGCATTGAGCCAAAAGTGCCATTTTCGTCCGATATATCGGTGCATCCCTAGTATAAAGAGTATTGAAAGTGAAGCAAACTTAACATCTTCGTGTCCTACAACTTTGTCTGCATATCCTAAGAGAATAATTTGTATTTTTGGTGGTGTCACTTGACTCCTTTTTGAAAGTGTTTTATTAAAGACTGTAAAAGCATCATTGTAGTGTTTCGTAGCTACTTTTTTCTTATTAAAAAAAAAAAAAATCCAGGGAGACCTTATAAATCAATACAGTATAGGTATCCGTGTAAAATTAAATATTAAACTACCAAAACACCTTGGATGCCTCCTAGTTTTGATCCAGCCTTGATTAGTTGTGTGTGTTTTGTATTTGGGGCTTGTTTGTCCAGTGTGCAGTGCCTCCTATCTAGTGCATCGTAAAGCCATAAGTATACCCCTGGAGGAGGATCAGTATCTCTTGTATCTAAAATCTTGTTTCCACAATAACCAAACTGTGTTATTGCTCTTCAGGGAGAAAGTTCTTAATTCATGACTTATACGCTTCTTCCAGAAAATCTGTACTGGGATCTAATTATTTGATGGCTTGTAAAGTAATGCTTCAAATGCATATTTTTCAATGTTTCATCATGATCTACTGTGAATATGGTTGTGAATGACAGAATTATAAATGTTTGAGTCTTTACCTGTTCTAATACATTAGTTCAGTTACAGTAGGCAGTGAATAAAAGTGATAACCTTAAATTTGGACAACAGAAAATTGAGTTCTTGCCCATAACCAATCAGATGTTTTTGTAAAATAACCTTTATTGTTTACTAATGACAACATCTGTCCTCAAAAAAGGGTATAAAATTCATTTCAGTACAGCGCTGCATGACGGAATAAATGTCAGTCAAAGTACCGCAGCGCTGAATACTGAAAAATGGCCTGGATGGGAAGGGGGTTTAACACCGCGGATGTCAACTGGTTAAATAAAATCGTTGTTTTCTCCACCTCCTAATAAACTGGGTCTAATAGCTTAGTCAGCCTTGGTTTCTCTCAACATAGAGTTTCTTTGATCAATATCGTACAGTGTATTATCATGATTTGTCGTGTTTTTAGTTGGCAAGTCTCCTATCTCTAATCTTAACACCTTAGGCCCCATTTACACTGAGCGACATGAAAATCGTGCGATTTTGCGCGACGAGCGATATTGAGCGATGTGTCCGCGACATCGCGCAACTTTTTCCTATTGGGCTGTATGCAATCAGGAGCAATATCGCTCGAAAAAAGGGTCATGTAGGAGCGACAAGCTACAAGCGATATTGAGGGATGAGATGTGGACAGCTCCATTGAAATGGATTGGAGAAGCTACATAGAGCGATAACGCGTGGAAATATGAGCGATATCGCTGCAAAAATCGCTCAGTGTGAATGGGGCCTTAGTGACACAGCTTCATAAAAATGTTTTTGCTTCTGGGGGCCGGAGCAATTTTGCTTTTTTTGCTATGTGTTTGTTTAACCGTAGTTTCCATCTTGCTCATTTATTGCACCTACACATATACCTTTTTTTTTTTTTTTTTTACAAAATGGGGTTTGAGTTGATGTAACATATGCATATAGAGATTCATATTTTTTTTTTTTTCTAAAAAGGTGTAGGTAATAAAGTCCTTTTTTATTTGTCCTGAATACTAGGATATATCCTAAATCTGGGGTTTGTTTACTTTGGGAGTAAACCCAGCCAGCTAGCAGTTTACAAAATACAGTGAACTGCTCCCGGCTGCGTGACGGTCACAGTGATTATCTCTCACTGTGACCACCTAATCTGCTGTTGAGGGTCTGCCTTGGACCGCGAGGGACCCATCAACACTAGTAGCTCAATGACCAGCGCTTATTGTACCGAATGATGGAATTATCCCGTCACCGGTCGTTAACAAAATGAATGTTGGTGACGGGGTAAGGGCTTTGTAATGCATGTTGTTGCACATTGCACACGTGTTTTTGAAGTTCTCCCATTCATTTTTAATGGGTCCCCAATCATAGTAAATGTCTCCCATGACCCTGTAACCCTAAAAACTGTAAGAAAATGTAAAGTGCTTAAAATACCAACTTAAATGTATTAACATGTGAATGGGCCATTGGTGTCCCTTTACTAAACATGGTTAACTGTAGAGAACCCCACACTCCCCTTTACAGCTTCACCTGCTAGCTTGCAAGGGAGGAACAAGAGGCTTGGGCTTGAATTGCATTATTGATCACCCTGGGTTTTGGTCTCCTGGGACGCTCTAAACTAAACTGATCACCCTGGGTTTTCAGAGGTGTAAGCAGGCACCTCTAGATACTAACGTGTAAAGCAGACCTTTCACTAAATGCAAGGACTGCTCATTAATTGCTTCCCCATACCAAAATGCTGCAAACAATATAGAAACTGTAGGATAAAAAAAGATATAAAAAATACTTAAAGTAGCCCAAATCCCACAGGGTGATGCCCAGACACAGTTCAGCAGTGTTCTTGTAAAATTTTGGCTCCTTGGCATTCCCTGGGATCTTGCTGGCAAAGGTTTAACATTACCCCTGCCTAGGTGCAGTGGGCAGAAGCCAGGGAAAAGATAAATTTTTTTATTTTTTTTTCCAGATTTTTTTGTTTTAATTTTTGCAGCATTTTGTCATAGTTGTGGGAGCAAAGTAAATAAGCAGATCTTGCATTTTTGGTGCAATGTCTGTTTCAACTTCTGCATGGTTTGCTATGTTTTAAGTTTAGCATGGATTTGCTCAAATGTCTAAATATTATGTTAGTCTTCAGTTAGAAATGTTTCATTGTGCAAGTAATGTATATTATTTAGATCCCTTGAATTCATATTTATAGCATTATTGCTGTTCACTCTGTTTTTAGCAGATTTTCCCAAGTGTGTTTTTATGTATAAATATTTGTGTTTTTGTATGTTTTTTTGTTTTTCTAGTTTCCTGCGAAAGCCATGATTCATCACTTTCCAGCACCGGTAGTGCTTTATTCACCGATTTACAAGACGAGAGCAAAACAATGAATACTAATGATAGTTTGTCTCTGTTTACGGACATAGAGGAACATGCTTTGCCCCCCTTTTCAATGTCTGAACATGCTAGGGGGTGTCAGAATTTAAATAACAGAGCCTGCAAGGAAAGCACTAAACTTTTCTTGCATGCTCCAGTAGAGCACCCACACCACTCTCAGAATGGGGTCTGTTTTGTTACTATTGACTCTTTTGAGCCAGACAGTGATGGAGAAGAAAATGTTAGCCTTTATGAAGAGGTTTCTTTAAAAACTGAAGCAGGTGGAAACCTGCATTTCATTAGCAATACAATATGTGAACTCCAAAAAGATTCTCCCAATGAAATGCTTTCAGAATTTTCCAACTTAAATCACACTTGTGTACAGGACAGTATATCTCAGGGGAGTGCTACAACATTATCCGAGCATTCGACTCTAGACCTATACACAGCAGCAGGGAGTTTATCTGCTAGCTCCATATCAGAGGATGAAGCAACGGGCGTTGGAATTGTAGATCTCTGTGAATCGCAGCAAAACAAAAGTAAAAGTGACTTAATAGAGAAATGCAACCTAGAAATTTGCAGTGACAACAATACCGGAGGTGCTAAAACCGACCCAACAAATGAGCCGGTTGTCCGACCTAAAATAAGAAAAACTTATCCCACAGTTTCTTCTGTAAAAGACACACTGATAACCGATGAGAATGGAAAGGAAGCCAAAAGTTCTAGAAGAGAAAAGCGGGAATCGGATGCCAATTTACAAAAGTCTAGCAAAGTCGATAAAGTTAACAGTGCAAAGGAACCTGGCTCTGTGTGTGTTGAGGGAGCCCAAAAGAAAAAAAGGGGCACTAGCAAGGATATTTTAACTCCGCCAGACAGTAAACCTTTAGTGGATGACACATTTTGGGATGATTTTGAAGTCTATGGCTTGAAGATAATGGATTCAGCGAAAGATGAAGAAAGGTAGGATGCCTGCGGGTTTTTTTTTTCTTGAGAAATGGGTGATAATTTTATATTAAAGTGCACCAGTGTCTACCCCATTCAAAGCCACAGCTTCTTATATTTGCCTTCCTTATGCTCCCTTGCTGCTCTGTTCTCCCTACAAGGAGAAGCCATGTGTAAGCTCAAAACAGATCTAGCCTGTTGGTGGTATGTGACCCATGGGACCTAGTTTTATGGCCTGCATGGTAGTAGGTTGGTCCCAGCCTGAGTATTTGGAACAATTTCTATGTATTGTGGAATGTTCCATGGGACCCAGGACACAATGCAGTTGGGGTTTTAGTGCTGAACACTCTCTGCATCCCAGCACCCTCCAATTATGCTGCCACTACCTGTTGGTTGGAATGAGTTCCCGCTTGATGCGGATAGTATAGTTCCGTGCCCACCTCATCTGTGTGCAGGAGCATGTGAGTAACTGCTGAACATCATTGGAGCAGGATTTATATTTGCTCCCACTGAACACATATAAAGGGTTGTTTAGTTTTTGCTTCAACTGAACACTAATGGGGGGGTTCTCTTACTGCCACTGACACCAGTGAAAAAAAATACATCTCAATAGGGGGGGGACTGTGTACTGGCACAGGCCCAGCAGAAATTCTTGTGATAAGCAGTTGAGGCCACACGGTCGAGGTCCCACTGTTTTGGGGAGTAGAAGAATGGAAGGAAGGCATTTAAAAAAAAAAACTAGAGGTGCACCGAAATGGAAATTTCAAAACCGAAACAAAAAAAATTGTCAGACCAAAATCAAGAAGATGATGTTGTTTTTTTAATTTTTTTTTGTTTACTTTTTTTTATAAACTTCTTAATTTTTTTTTATTTTGTACTTTACTTTTAGGGGCTTCGGGGAAATATTAGGGGTCTAAATAGACCCCTGATATTTCCTTTTTTTAAATAGAAAAAGAGATTGGGACACAAAGTCCTTAATCTCTCTTTCTGCAGCCCCACTTATCAATAAACAGGAATCCTCTGAGTGTTCCTGTTCATTCATAACATGAGGACATAGTATGTTTTACTATAACCACAATCATGAATGAACAGGAGGTGATGTAGATCACTTCCCATTCATTCATGTTTGAGGATAAAGTGACGATACTAAGGGACGCCGGGCCGCTCACAGCACTCTCCTCTCGCAGCGATTGGCCGGCTATCAGTTTCTCTCCTCCCCACTGGGACACAGAGCAGCGCCCAGCGTGGAGGAAAGAAACTAGGGATGTGCCACTGTATCGGCAGAAAAATGGCACTTTCGGCATTTAGCCAAAAGTGCCATTTTCTGCCGATTTTTTTATATCCGTGCATCCCTAAAACTAAAAAAAAAAGTGTAACGGCATTCTTCTTGGGACAAGGCTGAACAAATCCAAAGGGCCAGGTAGCCAATGCTCCTTTTAAAAATGACAGTGGTCTCCTAACTTTGAGGTCTTCTCTAGCTGTCAATGGAGCTGGCTCCTAAAATAAACTAAATCCTGAATGGAGCTGAATAGCCAGTTGCGCCATAGTCGTAGCCAAAGAGAAATATCTTCTTTCAACAGTCTGATTGTCTGATTACCGTAAATTGTGTTGGTAATTGGGTACTTGTATTCTCTCTCCCCCCCCCTTCTTAATTTTTTTTTTTTAATATGAGCATTATTACTTGTTTTATAATGGAATTGTGACACTAGTGTTTGTTTTGGTTTTATTAATGTTCATTGAATTGCCCTGAGATCATTGTACAATGAAAGTACTGGCTCTCCAGTTCTGGTGTAACTACAATCCCCATGAAGTGTTGCACAGCCCCTAGCATGACTCCAGAGGCAGGTGCATGATGGGAATTGTAGTTTCACCACAGCTGGAGGGCCAGAGTTTGCCAATTCCAGAACTGCGCTAGATCCTCTCGGCATGTGCGATGACTGAATGTCGGAAGGATCCAAAGATCAGAAAATGTTTATGCAATGCTTGTTCTGTAGCAAACCAGCAAAGATCTGGTGCTACACTGCTGTATGTTGAAGGGACAAAGGTGGCAATTACCTGAAATACCAATTTGTACATGAGCAGGTCTGCTGAATAAAGCCAAACTCTTGGCAGGCATAAACAACACAAATTAATGCATTTCTGTAATAATTAGTAAATCATTCCAAGCAGCGCAAGTACCTAAATTAGGCTTGGTATCAGTCTCTTGTAGTGTATGAGAGAAAGCAGCAGTTCATGTGCTGAAGAAGCATGCTGACAGGATGAGAAAGCAGAGTGCAAAGCTCCTCATTGCTTCTTTCATTATCCAGTCAGAGGCTGGGGTGGATCCAGGATGACCTGGGCTCAGAGGATGTGGGTTCAATGATACACACAATTAGTCTAAGGACATTTTGGCAGCGGAAAAAAATATTCACAATCTAGTTCTCTATGGCTGGAGAAATGCTTTGTTTGGGATCTTTCAGAGACAATTAAGTTTCACGTAGGAACGGGTTTTTTTAATATTTGTAACCCTATAACAGAACGTGTGTGGGGTTATGGGGTGTTTGTTTTGTTTGTTTTTTTATTACTTTGTTTTTGGGGACATTTTATTATGTTCGGAAACCATTTTATTACCCATTTTTTTGGTAAAATATAAAAAATTGGCCATAGGCGACGCTTTAAAAGCTTTATTATAATTATTTATAAGCTGTATGTAATATACATCACTTCTGCATTCTGACAGCGGAGAGGGGACTGAAGGAAGATAGTGTACCGATCTCCCTTGGCTCCCCTGTCAGAGCCACTATGCTGGTGCCAGGCTCACACCAGGCACAGCGGACCCCGGGACCAGCAGGAGGGGGACACGGACCGGCAGCTTATACAAACGATCTGCCGGTGATCGCTTGTATGTGAACAAGCATCGCTGCCTGTTTTTTTTAAATTTTTGGTCTTTCCCACGCATGAGTGAGCGTGGCTAAGCAGACGTCTAAAGACGACCCGCACAGATCTAGAGCGCTCCCGGCCGGCAGTTTTTAATTTTTTTTTCGAAAGCCCTGTCGGGATGTGGTTAAATCAGCTCTCTTCTAGAGCAATCCGCCCACTATGTTGTGACCTTAGATTGAGTTTTGAGTTTCCTTTTGGGTTATTATTATACAGGCTTTCTATAGCACCAACAGTTGGCGAAGCGCTTTACAATATAAGGAAGACATTACAATACAATTCAAGACAAGATGGTAAGGAGGGCCCACAATCTAAAAGGGAGGGGCAAGTGATACATGAGGAGGTAGCTGTGTGGGGATAAATTGTTTGAGAAAGTGATAGTTCAGTGGTTAGGTTGAGGTGGCATAGGCTTCCTTGAAGAGATGAGTCTTAAGGGATCGCCTAAAGACAGCAGAGTGGGAGATAGGTTGGGGTAAAGAGTTCCAGAGGATGGGAGAGACTCTAGAGAAGTCCTGGAGGCGAGTATGGGAGGAGTTGACTAGGGAGCTGGAAAGCAGAAGGTCTTTGGAAGAGCGGAGGGGATGGTTAGGGTGATACTTTGAGACAAGGTTTGAGATATATACGGGGGCAGAGTTGTGGATGGCTTTGTAAGTGGTGGTTAATATTTTGAATTTTATCCTTCGGGTAATTGGAAGCCAGTGTAGGGATTGGCAGAGGGGGGTGCGGACACTGAGCCATTGGTTAGGTGGATGAGTCTAGCAGCTGCATTCATGATAGACTGAAGGGGGGATAGCCTGTGTAGTGGAAGGCCAATGAGGAGGGAGTTGCAATAGTCAAGACGAGAGATAACAGGGGAGTAGATGAGCAGTTTTGCGTTTACATTGGTGAGGAAGGGGCGTACTTTGGAGATGTTACGAAGGTGAAGGCGGCAGGATTTGGATAGTTGATTTTACCAGATGTGCAGCGCTAATCATATAAGCAACCAGTGTGTGAAATAAACTACGTGATAGCCTAAATCCGTGTATGTGTCTAATATTTAACTACTAATTATCCAACCGTGGTTGGCTGTCTCCGAGACCTGCTTAAACCCCCTGAGGGCGTCTGGTAAAATCAACGATTGGACTTAGTTGTCTATTGCGCAGCACCTCTTCCATCACTTTATTTCTTTATCACTTTAAGTTCACTTATTTAGCACAGAAGTAAATACATAAACAAGATTTGGATAGTGATTGGATGTGGGGAAGAAAGGTGAGGTCCGAGTCAAGGATGACACCTAGGACCTTGGCATGGGGGGAAGGCTGGATAGTTGTGCTAACAATCTCAAGGGAAATGTTGGGGGGAAGGTGCACGGGGTGGTGGGGGAGGAAATATCAAGAGCTCAATTTTTTAAAGGTTATAGTTTTAAGTGTTGTAACATCCAGACTGATATGTCAGTAGATTAGTGACACGCAAGGACACTGAGGGGGTGATTTGCGGAGTAGAAATATATATTTGAGTGTCATTGGCATAGAGATGGTATTGGAAGTCATGTGAGGTTATCAACTGACCAAAGGAGGAGGTGTAGATAGAGAAGGGCTCCAAGGACAGAGCTTTGGGGGACCCCTACAGGAAGAGGAAGGGAGGTCCTCTTCCTTTAGTAGTGGAATGTTTTGTATTTGATCATGCTAAATATTTATATTTATTTTGTGACTAAATAAGAGGTTTGAGTATATGATTGGAATGGAGTTTTTTGTTCATATGGCTTTGAATCTGGGATGCATTGGCCTTGAAGTTTAGTTTGATTTAAAGCTGAACTCCAGGTATACATTTTTATGCATTCTCACATATTGGTCCAGCTTGGCCCAATGTAATTATTCATATGTCAGACCTGAGCAGCCCACTGGGATCCTTTGAAGCACTGTAAAAGCTGGAGCTACTACACTGCTCAGTGTAATCACAATCCTCACCTCACCCAATCAGGGAGGGACTTATATTAATTAATAAAAAATAATACTAGGCATTCTCTGAATAGCTGGACAGCACATTGCAGTACAGGAAAATTGCTGTCAGCACTGTAGGAGCTCCAGCTCCTACAGTGCTTTACAAGGTCCCTGTGGGCTGCTTAGGTAAAGACAAACA